CAAATTTAGACTCCCTGCCAGATGGAAATTTGACAATCACTTACTAGCTGGCTCAGCACCGCGAGCACCCTATGGATCCATAAGCAGTACGACCAGTACTGTCCTTCTGAACCTCCGGAACTCGCATTAAATTCCAAGCAAAGCTCCCAGGGTTAGAAGGGAGGGGAGAGGGCAACACCACGTGACCCAGTCCCGCATGGAGAGGGGCGGGGATAAGTTTAAAGACCTCAATCAAGGGGCTGGAAGCCCACGACGTCATACCGGAGCCAATGCCAATACATGGCTCAACAGAACTGTACAAATTCAGAGAAGGTTCTAGTGGGTCCATATGATGAGACATACCCAGCAAGTCATGATGCAAGCCAGGCCATGAATATAGAAGCTGAGGAAGTCTCAGACTCACAAGAGGCAGTGAATCCTGTGCGAATAACATTTCAGGAAATAAGGGCTGAACCTGAGGTGAGCTGTATGTTTCTGTATGTCCACTATAGGGCAGATATCACAAATAGGCAGGAATTCAAGTTGTCTTTCTCATCTTTGTCTGTCTGTCTGTGCACTTGAAACAACTCCACTATGCTGCTCACTCGCCTTTGAAGGCCTTTATCTGAAGTGTCTCTAGACAGTTATAGTTTGTTGAATGTACACTGCTTGTGACGTACCACTTCTGTTTCCTTTCAATCAGTTCTGATGCAGATTGTTCTGTCTTAAAGGGGGGTGGCTAAGTAGCTCGCTAACAACCTAAACATATGCTGCTTTGGCTTGGGTCCGCCGTTCTCCGGAGAAGCTGGAGGGGATGCAGGATCCACAGGGGAAGGTGCGTGCTGTGAAGGATGAAAGGTCCATTGACGTTACACCAAATTTCTTCTATTCTATTCGTCTAACCCTATATACATATATACACACAGTAGCTGCCAACGTTTGTCGGGTACATTACGCTTAGATACGTACTCCTTCGGTCGGATGTAGTTACACTCATTTCACCCGACTCTGGGTTTCTAGACCTCTCCCTTTCTCTCTTTCCTTCCTAAGCCTGGTCCATCTATTATTCCTCCTAACTCCCTGGGTGTTTACACTTCAATAATATCATGCTCAATGTCCATGGCTATACGGAGTAGTTCCACTTACTTGTGAGGACGATACTGGCTCACATCATACACACCCTCTCGGCCCCATCTCCGTGAGAGCCTTTGGCTCTCTCTCTGATATTTTTGCTGAACACGTAGTAACAATACTAATAGAGATGAATGTGAAGATGATGATGAAGATAGCAATAAATAAAAATATCTATATCCCCCAATGATAATGATGATTCCTTTTTATATTTTCTTCTTGGTACTCACCAGCTTCGAGGTGCGTATGCACCCGCCCATCATGACGTGATTTTGGTTGGGGTGGCTAGCTCTCATTGACTGACTGGTGAATGGGATTTGCGTTCCCTAGTCTACTGTCCTCTCTGACTCAGCGATTTCTTAATGCCCCAGCGCCTTCCTGCTCTACTTTATTTAATGTCTTCCTTCTTGTCAGCATTAGTAAGCTGACACTATAATATTCTGGTTAACTTGCTATTGCCTAACTGGCCTCACTACCTTCTTAGGAAATCCTGCTTCCTTGTACATTTCATTTGTCTATTTCTTAACTTTAATTTACGGCCTTCGTAGTCGAGAGGTAACGTTCCCACCTCATGACTCGTAGTACGCGGGTTCAAATACCCGGTGGAGGTCGTCGAACTTTTAAGGGCGGAAAAATTCAGGGAACAAGTCCTCCGGGAGGGACTTTAAGCTGTGTGTCCCGTGTTGTAACTTTACGGCACGTAAAAGAACCTCATATCCCCAAAGGGGATCACTGAGCCAAATGCCAGGATGTTTCCCGCCCAACAATAGTCTCTAAGGCCTCTGATAGATGGGGGAAGCATTATAGACACCGCTAAGCAAGTGGCCGAACTCGCTTGCTCGGCGGGACTGATGGTATGCACCATTTATCGGTAGGGTATAGAGACTGGTAGAATATCATAGAGGGAAGCACAATAGATCAAATTGGTCGCGGTGCATGGGGAAACCCACCCTCTCTAAATAACTAACTTTAATTTCTAAAAACACCTATTCTTAATTAACATAAAAATATCCATTTGTACATAAAGTTTGGGGCACAACACAGATGAAATTAAATTTTGTATAAACAGAACTGTATCTGAGAGGAATTCTATAGCAACAAAATCCCTTATGGAGTCACGGAACTGTTTGCAGTTAGTTAGTGGTACACTTGTTAGAACCAATAATTTACTAGGACTCTTGTGAGCTAATTCTAATGAACCCCACAAGATATTTATCATATGACGAACAGGTTTCAATGTTACAAAAGATTCTGCATTCTCTTGCAACAAGAGTGGTAAAATTCTAATGTATAGAGCTGAAGAAAAGTTTCCTGGTGTAAGCGAATGAATTCTGAGAGTTTCGTGCTTGTGTGCATAGATATGAATTTTATTGTATGTCAGTTGTGTTGGCCAAAGTAACTAAATATTTTGTGAAATGCTTCTGTTTCTTTGCATGATTCCTGTGGGGAGTTTCTTACATTTCGATGATCAGGATTTGGTATATTATGTAGGAGAGCAATGCATTCAAGGAGATTGATGTGGGTAAGTCAAGTAGTGCACATGCAACAGTTAGAAATGCATACAAAATTTTGAAGGGAAAACCTGAGAGAAGCAGACCACTTGGGAGACCTAAGTGAGGATGGGGAAATGCTATTATGATAGATTTGAAAGAAATAATTTGGAAGGTTTTGTACTGGGTCTGTTTGCCTTAGTATACAGAGTCATGATGAGCATGTGTTATCACAGTAATGAGCCCTTTCTGGCTTTCTCATCATATCCTGTATGCATTCCTCTTTTCCCCCATGCCTGCTATATGAGCTGCCTATCTCATCCTCCTTGACTTTATCATATAATTATGTTTGGTGAATGAAGGTTACAAGTTGTGGAGCTCTTCATTGTGATCTTTAGGTACCAAAAAGTAGATATTTTCTGTACTGCCGCAGTGACTGTTAGTTCCTCGGGAAGGTCACTGAGCTATGAACCGAATACCTTCTAGTGATCATGATAGCTGTGGAGAAGAGCATGTGTACACAACAGCTCTTATGAATTAAATGTGATGAGAAACAGCCATAGCAAGGAAAGTACACTGTTTAATGTATGGTGTTGTGCATCCATTTCTGAGAAGGATGTAATGGTTTTTACAGAACTGTACAAATTTGGAGAACGCTTTAGTGGGTCCATATGGTGAGACATACGCAACACCTCCTGATGCAAATCAGGCCATGAATGTAAAAGCAGAGGCAGTCTCAGATGCAGAAGAGGAAGAGGATCCTGTCCCAATAACATTTCCAGAAATAATGGCTGAACCTGAGGTGAGCTGTACGTGTATGTGCACTGTTAGGCAGATGACATAAATGTGCAGAAATGCCACTTGTCTTGTCGTGTGATACAGCCTCAGGTCACAGGGACTGAACCACGCTCCTCTAACTCAGCAACTCACCAACCAACTTGCTCCACTCCTCTGCGTTATCTCAACTCAGTCTGTCGAGTGATATGGCCTCAGCTCACAAGGACTGAATTGCAGCACTCCTCTAACTAAATAACTCACCAACTAACTTGAACCACTCCATTGCATAAGCTCATCTCGGTTTCTCGAATTATACAGCCTCAGATTTGACCTAACAGAAAACGCAATTTCTCTGTTGATGTGGATGGCATAGTATCACAAGTTCCATTGCAGTGGCACTGTCCACCTGGTACCAGCTCTCCTGCCATTGCCTAACATCACTTGGGACGTAAAGTGTTCCTGTGTTGCATTTGCAACCACTGTTATGCTGACAAGCTGTTTACTGTGGTATAACCTGTTAATGACTCTCCACATGCTACATTTATGAAGCTAAAGTTTTGAAGTAAGAATTACAGTTTACTAATTTAAATGAATTAAAAGTCTGAGAATGGAGACTCAATTCCTTCTTAAAATATTCCAAAGTGTCCCAAAAGAAATTCTCCGGGTCCTTATCATTTCGCGAAATGGTGCGTCATGTTACGCAAGTCTCTACATAGCGTCTACCTCGTGAGTTGATTTCGTCGCATTGCATCATACCCACTTGGTTAATATGTAGTTATAACGAAAGAGTTATTAATCAAAAGTGATAAAATTAAAATATATACAAAGGGTACTTAAACTGCATACAAAATAACTGTCATAGTGGGGAGGGCATCCTCAACTCCTCACTGATATTCGCTGATACAATCAAAGCCAGTGAACTTTAACTTCTTGTTCATTTTGCATCCCAGTGGTTTTTTTTTTCTGTTTAAAGTTGTCTCAACACAATACATAAAGCTCCTCTTCACCGAAGCTCCTTTTTCTTTATTACACTCACTATCAATGTAAGTACTGTTAGTAAGAACATAAAAAGACATAATTAATTTTGCGCAACAGTGCAATAAACATCTCGCATAAGCGCACTCAAAAATAGGGTGAGTATTTATAGCTCGTTTCTACGTAAAAGTGAGCCAAACAATGGACTAGCGAGGTAGATATCACGTGACTGCATTGCTGACTTAAAAAAATGATGGCCAAGTGGAAAGCCGACGGAGAAAAACGGAATGCTGAAGGCAAAGCCGACCAAGAAGTGCAGGCAGGGCTGGAAGCCATTTGCATAATAGGGCTAATTTGGTAGGTAGGGCCTACTATCATATAGTCATCATTTATATTCTTAAACTCTAGTAAAAGTTATAATTAAAAATTGTCAATGAATAATCTGTCGAGTGTAACAACGTTCTTAGGTCACTTATTTATTTCACTCGCCTTACATGTTTCGGTTCAAAAGAACCATCATCAGAGGCACGTTACAAACACATGAAACCACTGGCGTTGTATTGTACACAGTATGTAAGCTGCGTGATCTGCTACAGATGTCGGAGTGTAAAAGCACAACACTTTCTAGTAACGTTGAATGCATGTACACCTCTTGCATTCCATCCAAAGAATGCTCTCAAATTGAGCCGTCAATGTTAAAATATTTAAAAGCTTAAAACATTTGAAATAAAATTTGGCTCCTTCTTGTTGATTCGTCCCGGTGATGGGAATCGTCAACTTGAGGTTGTGTATGCTGCAAAGATATTGTATTATATTAGGTTTTATATATTATTATATATTTAATTTTTATTTTCCCTTAGTGTTGTATTTGATCCTTGCTTACCTTTTGGTCGGATGTGTCTTACGCGTTGTGTG